GGGCACCAGGCAGTGCTCCTGTGTACGATGCATGCGGGAAAGCCGGGGGGCAGAATCAGTGCCACCCGCACCAAGGTGCTGCGTATTACATCGCGACGGAGCACGCCAAGATTGGTGACCTCGGCAGCAAGGTGCTTCCGTACATGCCGTCTGGAACCGTGTGGACCGTTGGAGAGATGGTGAAGACAGCTTGGACCATTAACGCAAACCACGGTGGTGGATACCAATATCGCCTTTGCCCCAGGGAACACGAGCTCACTGAGGAGTGCTTTCAGAGAATGCCGATTCCTTTTGCTGGGCTGCAACAGCTTCAGTTTAAAGGTGATCCTGCCGTGCGCACGATCAATGCCACTTATGTCTCCAGCGGGACCATTCCAGTGGGATCAACATGGGTAAAGAATCCAATTCCAATCTCGGCGGCGTGCACACAGGGGAAGTGAGAATGGGCAGGCCTTCTCAGAAGGTGGTGGTGCTTCTCATAAGCCCTCGCGCCTTCTGAGAAGCCGCCAGTGGCTTCGGAGAAGGCTCACAGGGTGTCATCTCTCACTTCCCCCTGGGCGCGCCGCCGACAATCGACCCAGGTGATTTTGAGCCACCATGCCAAGAGAGCGACCCGTATTTTCCATACCCTGTCCCAGAGAGCAAGGTCTGGCCAACGCGGTGTTGGGGTAATTTCCCATCGCATACAATGATTATCGATTGGTTGCGCTTGCCCATTTCGGGGAAACGTAAGACTCGAGTTCGCCGGAATTCGTGTTGGCTAAAGCTGTCTGACGTGCCCGTCTTGATTTCCGACGGACCAGTTGTCCTGGAATGTTTGCAGCGGGAGCCCGCGTCAAATGTATGATTGGGTCTCGTCACTTTCCTCACGGCGCCGTCAGGCCAACCCGAGTTTCCCGAACCCGAGTCTTACATCTCCCCGACCATGGACATTCAGCCTGGCGAGTATGTGTTGGGATGGCGTTGGGACGGGGAGCAGAGCTCACAGATCTGGTCATCTTGCGCTGACGTAACGATTGGTGCAAATCCAGTATTCATCTGATTGTGATATCGGTGTGACGTTTCCTATTGCAGAAAAGGACTTATTGTTTCTTCCCCGTCATAATCATCAGCATCCCTGTGCCTTCTTTACTGCTGCTCTTCCGCATCCCTCCTCTTCTCCCTTGCTCTCACCCGCCTCGTTGTTATTCCTCTTCCCTCACTATCCTGCACGATAGGGAATGGAGGGGTGCGAAAACTGCCGTTCGCGGTTGGCTTCGGCGTCGGGCAGCCGTCCTTCGATACGTTGGCGCCTCCAGCGCCTAGAGGCATTGGGAAAACCAGTCACGTGAGTTGACTCGCTGACCCCCACCATTCGACAGAGGAGGAGGAGGAGGAGGAGGAGGAAACTAATGAACCAAAGATGTATAAGCGGTGCTATAATACACCCTTGTGCCCCATGCCCCCTAGTCATTTACCACTACAAGTCCTTATGTTCACAAGTTTACACATGTGGTCATACACTTCGGCGAAGTCTCAATGGACAGCTCGATGTCAGAATAGTGCAGCCATGGATCCGTGAGCCCCGCTTTGAAGGCCCTCCATCCGTGAAGCTAGTGCGTACTGCAAAGGTATTGCTAAGACGAATGCGCTTGGCGCTGGGGCGAGAGCCAAATTCTGAAAATGAACAGTTTGTTCATATCTGGATGTTTGGGACGACTTTGCGCGTCGCTAAGGGGAGAGCCAAATTTTGAAAACGACATGTGCTCCATCCGTGAAACGGGTGCAAACTCTCAGGAAGAACGTGCGCAACGCTAAGGCGAGAGCCACATGTTGAAAACGCCCCCATCCCCACCCTCCCTTCAATCCCGTGTAGCTGCTGGAATCTTTCAAGGCGAATGTGCGCTCAGGCAAAGGCTCGCGGCGCTGGGGCGAGAGCCACATCTTGACAACGGCCGCCCTTCAGCCGTGAAGGTGCCGTGATGTTTTGAGACAAGTGTGGGCTGCGCTAAGGCGAGAGTAACATTTCGAAAACGGCACCCCATTCATCCGTGAATTTGCTGCAACAACTTCAAGCGAATGTGCGTGGCGCTGAGGGGAGAGCCACGCTTTAGAAACGAACCGCCATCCATCCGTCAGTTTGTTGCCTCAGTTTGCAGCGTTTGCTCGCGGCGCTAAGGCGAGAGCCACATGTTGAAGACGACATTTGCTCAATCCGCAAAGCTGCTGCAATTCTTAAGACGAACATGCGCGGCCCCCCTCCATCCGTGCACAGTCTTGTTTCTCAAGTTCCAGGATCATACCTGGTGGGGAACTCTCAGGCGAAGAGTAGCCCGCCCTGCCGACGCGTCTGGGGGCGCGAGAGGGATGAGTCACCTTTGAGCAAACGTTTGGAAAAGGTGGAGGACGTGGAGGAGGATGACGACGACGACGAAGCAGGAGGAGGGACGAGGGGCAGAAGGAGGAGGAGGAGGATGAGGAGGAGGAGAAGGGGGACAGGGGAGCATGAGGAAGGGGGGGAGGAGGGGAGGGACATCTCAGATGGCCTGGACAGCAGAGGCCAGCATGGGCGCGCCGCGGGCCACAGCCCGTCCTAAGGAGGAACCGACGGCATAATTACCCACCTGCCAAAACAGTCGCCCCTGCGGCCCTAAGGACCTGCTGAGAAGGGGAAGAGGAGGAAGTCGGAGGAGGAGGAGGAGGAGGAGAAGGAGGAGGAGGAGGAAGGAGGACAAGGAGGACTCGGTTCGAATCGAGCAAGCCGCAACGGTGGAGGCAGGGCCCGAAAGGCACCGGCGGCGACAAGGCGTTCCCCCGCGTCTCAAGCCATTGCGCTTCTCCTCGACCCCTTCGGCCCCCACGACTTCCACCCGAAAAAACTTCCAGCCTCTCTGCCCGATCCGGATCTCCCCTTCCCCCTCTCTGCCCGATCGTCCTCCTGACCCCCCCCCCCTTCTCCCGATCCTCCCTCTCCTGCTCCTCCCACCCCCTCGATCCCCTGGATCCCCTCGATCTGAAAACCTCGGCCCCCCTCGATCCCCCCGCCCTCCTGCAGCGTAAAAGCCTCGATCCCCCCACCCCACGCCCCACCCAAGAGGACGTGAGACACAGCCAGCCCTCCTCAACGAGGAGGAGGAGGAGGAGGAGAAGGAGGAGGAGAAGGAGGACCAGTGCAAATGCAAGACGCATCAATTGTGTTGCAATGAACCTTCCAAGTTCCCTCTTCACAGGTCCCCGCAAGAATTCCTCTTCATTGCGGGACGTGCCACATTGGAAGACAACCTTTCAAGAATCCGCAATCGTGCCAAACCACCATTCCTGAGACTTCAATGCTTCAATGCCGCGAATCAACGTGACTGTTGCGTCCGGACAAATCTTAATCGTGGCCGAACGCCGTTCTTGGGATTAAACACCAGGAAGCCGAGTGGTGATTGCTGCGCCATGTATTCACAATCGTGCCAGAACGCAAATCTTGGGACTTCAATCATACGGATGTTTGAACATCTTGCAAACGTTTGAGACGAAAGTGCGTGGCGATAAGGCGAGAGCCACACATTACAAAGGAACCACCATCCATTCATGAAACAGGTGCAAGCCTGTAAGGTCAATGTGCGCGGCGCTAAAGCGAGAGCCACATGTAGAACACCAGCCGCCCTCCATCTTTGAAACTCGTGGCGCTAAGGCGATAGCCACATGTTTAAACATACCAGCCCGCCCTCCATCTTTGAAACTGTTGCCACATCCAAATTGCATGATCGAGAAAGTGAGGAAGTCTCAGGCGGAACGCCCAGCCCACCCCACTCAAACGTCTGGGGGTGTGACAGGGAGGAGTTACCTCTGAGAAAAACGGGTGGAGGAGGTGGAGGAGGAGAAGGAGGAGGAGGAGGACGACGACGACGACGAGGAAGCAGGAGGAGGGACGAGGGGCATAAGGAAGAGGAGGAGGGGGAGGGAGGAGCATGAGGAAGGAGGAGGAGGGGCAGGAGAAGGGCCGCAGCCGATGTCGCAACTGGCCCTTCACTGAGCACCCCGCCCGCGCGAGACCCACGACCAGGGAGGAGGAAGAGGAAGAGGAGGAGGAGGAGGAGGAGGAGGAGGAGGAGGAGCAGGAGGAGGAGGAGGAGAGGAGGAGGGAGGCGAGGGAGGAGGAGGAGGAGGCGAAGGAGGAGGAGGAGGAGGAGCAGCAGGAGGAGTAGGAGGAGGAGGAGGAGGGTAGGCGAGGGAGGAGGAAGAGGAGGAGGAGGCGGAGGAGGAGGAGAGAGGAGGAGGAGGAGGAGGAGGAGGGAGGAAAGGAGGAGGAGTAGGCGGAGGAGGTGGAGGAGGAGGAAGGAGGAGGTGGCGAGGAAGGAGGGAGGAGGGAGGAGGAGGGAGGAGGGAGGAGGAGGAGGAGGAAGGAGGAGGAGGAGGCGGAGGGAGGCGGAGGAGAGGAGGTCGAGGAGGAGGAGGTCGAGGAGGTCGAGGAGGTCGAGGAGGTCGAGGAGGAGGGTCGAGAGAGGTCGAGGAGGTCGAGGAGGGAGGAGGAGGAGGAGGAGGAGGCGGCGAGGGGGAGAGGGGGAGGGGGAGGAGGAGGAGGAGGAGAGGAGGAGGAGGAGGAGGTCGAGGAGGAGGAGGAGGAGGAGGAGGAGTGGAGGAGGAGCAGGAGGAGGAGGAGGAGGAGGCGGAGGCGGGCGGAGGCGGAGGCGGAGGCGGAGGCGGAGGCGGAGGCGGCGCGGCGGCGGCGGCGGCGGCGGCGGCGGCGGCGAGGAGGAGGAGGCGGAGGAGGAGGAGGAGGAGGAGGAGGAGGAGGAGGAGGCGGAGGAGGAGGAGGAGGAGCAGGAGCAGGAGCAAGAGCAGGAGCAGGAGCAGGAGCAGGAGCAGGAGCAGGAGCAGGAGCAGGAGCAGGAGCAGGAGCAGGAGCAAAATAGGAGGAGGAGGAGGAGGAGGAGGAGGGAGGAGGAGGAGGAGGGAGGGGGGGAGGGTTCAGGAGAGGCCGCCGCTGGTGCCTCGACCAGCCCCTCCTCGGGCCTGCCCCGCGCGCGCAGTCCACCGTGGCCAGACTGCAGCAGTGCTTCGAGGACCTGCGCTCCATCAGCACCCTCGGCCTGGGGGAGCCCGAGCCAGCCAAGGAGCCAGCGGCCGGGGCCGCAGCTCAGGCGATCGCAAACATGGATCAAGGTGGCGTGGAGTAGCGACGGGCCCCGTTTCCATGGGGAATCGCGGATTGCCGCCGCCGAGCGAGGGGCACTGGCCGCAGTTTAGAGAGGGCACCTCCCCCGATCCGTGGATTTGGCGACCGCGCGCCAAATCCATGGATCGCTAATCCATGTTTGCGCGCCCCCGTCAGCAGCGCCTGAGATCCTGGCGTCACAAGGTTTTCGCGCCGGGCGTTCTCGCTGCATCAAAGGACCCTGGCAGCCTCACCGAGCGATCGGGCTTCGAAAAAGACGCAGAAGCATGGGGGTCCGGGGCTCCAGTCGTGATGATCTGCGATGCTTCAAGTGTCTGGCAACGTCGGATCTCAGGGGCAGGGAGCGGGGAGGAGGATAGGGCCAGACGAAAGGGTAGTCAAGGGAGGAAAAAGCACCCAGACCCGACAATTGGCGTTTACTATACGTCTCTGGGCGTACACGAGACAGCCATGCCCTGTTCGATTCCTTCTTCGGGTGCGTTTACCAAACGGCCTCGCGTGTCGGGGTGGTTATTATCGGATTGGATTTTCTGCCCTCCAGGTAGGATAAGGACAGGGGGGAGGCACGAAATCTGCGTTTTGCAGCTGGTTTCCACCCAGCCGCCGAGCCCATTCCTCGATGCGTGGGCGCCTCCTGGCGCCAGGAGGCGCCAGGAAAACCAGCTGCCGAGCCCATTCCTCGATGCGTGGGCGCCTCCTGGCGCCAGGAGGCGCCAGGAAAACCAGCTATGTGATCTGCTTCTCTACCTTACCTTTTGCGATCTGGCCCCTCTCGTCTCCGGGAGAGGAGAGGATCCTCCCCCTCCATCATCTGGCCGAAAGAAAGGGAGGGATTGGGAAAGGGGGGTCACGAAATCTGCTGCATGCAGCTGGTTTCGGCCCCGCCGCAGGGCCCATTCCTCGATACATGGGCGCCTCCCAGCGCCGGGAGGCGCTGGGAAAATCAGCTACGTGAGCTAATTCTCTACCCTACCCTTTCTATCCCCCCCTTCGTTCCCCTCGACATCAGTTCCCAGACATGGTCGGGTCGCGAACAAAAACCACGACAAAAGGGTTTGATCTGTTTTCGGCCTCCAGGGTAGGGCTGTGCGAAACGACTCGGGATAAAGAACCCGTCCTTGGTCGATATTTCCAGCATGTTCCCAGGGATTGGGGAAACCGTGTGTATGGTTATGTCGGCTCTGTCCCTCTGCAGGAGGGAAATTCTAAAATAGTAACAAAAATAGTTTGGGTACTATGTTTCACCATTTCGAGCATTTTTGGAGCACTCCAGATCTTTCATTTTTCGCCGACAATCCCCATCTAGGGGGACAGGCCCGACCGAAGTGTATGGACAACAAAAAAGGCCGCCGGACGCCAGGGGTTCTCTGGGGAGGAGGTTTGGGGGCAGCGTCGGGGGGGGGGGACGACCCTGACCTTCCAGGAGGGCGAAAAGAGAAGCACCAGGGCCTCGACATCTCGTGTCCCGTCGAGGTCTGGGGCAGTCCGGGTGGGTCTACAGGTCTGGAGGGCTGTGCTTCAGCACTCTGGGAGGTCAGGGGAGGCTTCGAGGTGTGCAAAAAAACCCAGGATTGCAAAAAAAACGTTCGAAGGATTGCAAAAAAAACAGGGCCCACCCTCAGACTCAGCCCTACCCTTGGGAAAAAAGAAAAAGAGAAACTCAGAACCAAGTGTATCTGTAGCGCTGGCGGAAGACATTCTTATCGACTGCCCAGGCCGATACGCATCGACATCGAGCGCCGAAAACTGCATTCAACAAGCTCGCATTGGTTTTTTTGCAATCCTTCGTTCAATGCGTCGTCGTCCGTTCTCGGCCTCGGAGGGTGCCTGCCAGCGGCGGCGCCGCGCCGAGGGCGTTCCCCGGGGGTGCCCCAGGGCGTGCCCAGGGCGGCCGCCGGAGGGCCGAGGCACGGAGCCGAAAGCCTGGAGGCAGCGACGGGAGGGGATAAGCCCTGCTCCCCCTCCTCCTCCTCCTCCTCCTCCTCCTCCTCCTCCTCCTCCTCCTTCCTCCTCCTCCTCCTCCTCCTCCTCCTCCTCCTCCTCCTCCTCCTCCTCCTCCTCCTCCTCCTCCTCCTCCTCCTCCTCCTCCTCCTCCTCCTCCTCCTCCTCCTCATCCTCCTCCCTGCGAGACTCCCTCGAGTCAGGAAAAAGACCACGACGGGAGGTTTTTCGCTAGTTCGGGCCTCTGGGGGCCCTCGCCGGGCCTCGGGACCGTCAAAGAACGACTCGGGATGGAAGACCAGTCCCGGGGAATGGTTCGAGGCCTCCAGAGTCGACGTTGCGAAAAAAACATGACGTCGGAGGTCTGGGAAGCTCAGGGGGGTGCGGGGCATCGGCCCCCAACCGCCCATTCATCGCCGATAGGTGCCTGATTTTCAAGTCGGGCGTGTCCCTCTACAGGAGGAAGGTTCAAGAGTTCTTAGAAACATAGTCTGGCGACGATGTGTTGTGCTCTTTGGATTACCTTTGGAATCTTTCTGACTCGCTTGTTTTTTCCAAAATCCGACTGGGGGGACATGCCCGACCTAACCCTAACCGCCCATTCGTCTCCGATAGGGGCCTGACAGTCCGCCCCCCGCCCCCCAGGATTGTGCGGTTTTGCTGTCGAAGGCCGGTCGCCGATCTGTCGGCGATGTACCGCCGATTCCGGGTCGATGGTTCCCTCCCGCGAGCCGGCCTGCCCCAAACCTCAGAGGAGGGCATCTTCTCTTTCCACCCCGTGTTCTCATGGATCGTTCTTCCCTGTCGCACCCACCCGAGACTTCCTCACAGCTTGTGTGCCTCCGGAAGCTTGGAACTCGCATCAGTTACACAGATTGGGCACAAGTGGCTCCCAAAAAGGAACTATCGCCTTGCCAGACCGCCGCCCGCAATCGTTTCAAAAGCCTGCGACACCTGCAAGGATTAGGATGTTCCAACCTATCTTCGCTTTGATCACCAGAAAGAATTTCGAGCACCAAAAAAGTACCGAGGTTTGCACGTATCGGGCCCTGGGAGACACTAGTCCGACACTGTTTCGAAACTTTTCTGGGTGCTCGAAATTATTTCTGGGATGTGGTCAGTAAGTACGATGGAGCAACAGAATGCAAGGATGGAGAACAGGTGGTTTTCAGAATGGAGCTCACTCCGCCTTGCCTTTTTTGAAAATTACGCGGCAGCATCTACGGATGGACCACAGCCGGTGTTCGAAAAGGAGCCCCCGCCTCAGCGCCGCGCGCATGCGCCACGAATGCCTGCACCAGGTGCAGGGATGGAGAGCGCCTCCTGCTCAAGCTGAGGCTCTCGCCTTCGAGAGGCGCGCGGGGGGGGGGCCTGGAGCAGGCGTCGACCACCCGGCTGGATCGCGGCGGGGCTCGCCAAGCTCCAGGCCTCCCCAGGAGGGGCTCCGAGCAGGTGGGGCCGGAGGACCGCGCCACATCGCCGAGGCATCGGCGACGCGGCTCGATGTGGAGCCCGATCCCTCTCCACGCCGACGTCGCCGACGCCGATGCGTCGGCGACGCGCCGCCGTCCTCCGACCCCATCTACTCGGACCTCCGTCAGGAGGCCTCTGCAAGTGAAGGGGGGGGGTACGAGTGGGTGCCGAGGTGGGTTGTGTCTGACCTGGCCGAGCTTGGGAGCTGATCACAAGTGCCCCTGGTGGCCGACTTGCCCGGACATCCGACGACGTGACGATTTCCGTGTGCGGCCCCAGAGGTCCCGACCTTTGCCCTGGAGGTGGCGTCGTGTCCCGCATCCATGCCCGAGGGTCCTGGGGCCCGAGAAGGGGCCCGGGAGCCGAAGTTGGGGATAAACACACGGATTGACAATCTCACATCGTCAGAGATGTGTTCGAATCCCCGCAGGAAAGGCAAAGCGGATGGGTGGGGGCAAATGTATGCCAAGGTGGTTTATGTCTGGCCTGACCTAGCTTCTAAATGGGTTGCAGGTGCCCTACTTACGTGTCTTGGGTGGCTTTGATAACTCCGCTAAGTGGGCGCAGCCCACTTAGCCCAGATCTAAGCCACTCAGGGCACCTCCAACTCACTGATAACCTAGGTCAAGTCAGATATCACCCATCTCGGCATTCACTCATTCCAAAGGCTTACGCCATTCCGCCGACCCCCAAAAGATCTTGGGAGCCCTTGCGCCGTCTTGGACGCTGCGAAGGCGCAACAGGCGAGCATGCTGAAACCTCACGTTTTCCGAAGGGAATGAAGGGGGTCTTTCCGACTCCTCCGGCTCGCACCGAAGCGATTTCCCCGGCTGCCGGTTCGAACCGATTCGATCCGGAGATTCCGAGTCTTGGTATCGCTTGCACGTGTGCATTTTTCCTTCGGCGAGGAACATCGAGGAGCATCCTTGGTGATTTGGCGAAAAAGCCACGCACGAACCCGAAAAAAGCACAGGGAATGGACGTCCGAGCGATGGCCAGGAGTTGCGATCCCGATTTCGGCTTCGCCCGATCCGGCTCCGGCCGGCTCGATGCGGCGGCCAGCTTCGGCCGATTTTCTGCCAGGCCGGCTTCGCTCCGACGCCGCCCTCGCTGGGGAGGTGCCTCGCCGCCTTGGCCGCCATCTCCGGGGAGGGTCCGTGGAGGGGCCACGGACGGGCGCCTTCGCGCGGCCACGGCTGGGCCCGCCTCGAAACTCTTGCCCAAACGCACCCTGGGGCAGCCACGGTCTGCGGGAGGGGACAGCGGGAGGGGACAGCGGGGGGGAGCGGACAGCGTGAGGGGACCAGTGGGGGAGTGGACAGCGGGAGGGGACAGTCGGAGGGGACAGCTGAGGGGACAGTGGGAGGGGACAGCGGGACGGGACAGTGGAGGGGACAACGGGAGGGACATCGGGAGGGGACAGCGGGAGGGGACAGCTGGGGGGGGTCAGTGGGGGGGGGCAGCGGGAGGCGACAGCGGGAGGGGACACTGTGGGAGGGGACACTGTGGGTCCGTGGAGGGTCGGAGGGCCCCCCCTGGGCCCGCAGAGGGTCGGAGGGGCCCGAGGGGGGCCCCCAAGGCCCGTGTGCAACGACGCGCGTGCGACGACATACGACCACGTGTACGACGACGCGCGACGACAACAGTCGGGAGAGGGAGGGATCGGGGGTGGACAGAACCCCCACCCTGACACGTCGATTAGTGAATTGTTCGTTTTCGGTTCTCGAGGGCGCCGCGGTCGTCATTTTCCAGGCTTGCGCCCGCCAGGTTCGGGCCCGAGGTCGTTTTCACTAAACCACGTTTTGCTAAAGCGGTTTCTGTCCATCCCCGAAGGGACGGATGGGACGGCCAATCACTTCCCCCACTTCCTCGTGTACACTCCCGGCCTTCCGATTTCGATTCCGATCCGGCTTGCCGTGATCCGGTTTCCGATTCGATCCGACTTGGCCTTGCCGATTTCTGTCAATTTCGATTTGGCTGCCGACTTCTGCCGATATCTGCCGATTCGATCTTCGGGTCGATCCGATTCGACTTTCCGATTCGATGCTGGGGCCACCTGGAATGGGACGATGATCGCTTCGTGGGGCCGTCTCGGCGGTCCTTTGGGAGCAATCTCGGGCTGTTTTGGGCGCGTCGTGGGCCGTCTCGAAGCCAGCTTGGATCGCCGTGGGGCTACCTTGGGCCATATCGGCGCTTTCTTGGACGGTGTTGGCGCTTCGTTAGGGCCGTTTTGATACGTCTTGAGGCTCTGGAGAGGCTCTGGGGCCCGGGGGACGCGTGTTGGGAGCTCGCACCCCCACGGGCCCACCCCTCAAACTGCACTGCGTGCCCCAAGGGAGGGGCAAAGCGGGAGGTGGGCAGCCAGCCATCTCACACGCCTTTTCCTCCACCGGCAGGCGGGGTTCGGCGGATAGCCCCCAATGCCCACTCAGCAGCCCCCGCGGAGATCCAGGTGGGCCGCGCGGATGAGAGACAGCAGGACGCCCAGGCGGGCAAGCCGCTGCCTTCCGCCGGCCGCTGCCGCCGCCGTCCCCGCGCGCCTGCGCGCGCGCCGCCCCCAGAACGTCGCCGGCCCGCGCCGCGGCGGCCTGCCGGCGTGAGGGCGCCCACGGCGCCCTGTTGGCGGACGTGCGCAGCGAGCGGCGACGAGGGCGCCCTCGCGGGCGCCGTCTGCGGGCAGATGGCCACGGCGCGCCGCGCGACCGCCCTGCTTCCGCGCGCGGCGGCGGCGGCGCCGACCGCGTCGGCGCCGACGTCGGCGGGATGGACGGCAGCGGCGCCGAGGGTTTGGGGGCCCGCGGCGGGCACCCACACCGCGCGCGCAGCAGCGGCGGCGGCGAGGGCGTGGGAACGGCGTCGGGCGCGCTGAGCGGGACGGGGCCGTTGGGGGATCGGCGGTGGAGGGTCTGGCGTTCTTTGGAGGGAGACGAGGGCGAGGACGAGGGCGAGGACGAGGGCGAGGACGAGGACGAGGACGAGGACGAGGACGAGGGCGAGGACGAGGGCCAGGACGAGGGCCAGGACGAGGAGGACGAGGAGGACGAGGAGGACGAGGACGAGGAGGACGAGGAGGACGAGGAGGACGAGGAGGACGAGGAGGACGAGGAGGAGGAGGAGGAGGAGGACGAGGAGGAGGAGGAGGAGGAGGAGGAGAGAGGGGGGAGGGGGGTGAGGGAGGATGGAGAGGGAGGAGGGGGAGAGGGGGGTAGGGAGGAGGGGGGAGGGGGGAGGGGCAAGGTAGGTGCGCTCGCGTCATATCTGACATCCTACCCCTCCCTCCCTCACCATGGCGTAGATCCCCTCTCTACTCGCACAGTCGGATGTCGAGCAGGGCAATGATCACGAAAGGGTACGCGATGCATTGTAGAGCACGGCGTGGCATGGCGTAGAAGAGCACCGCAAAGCGTAGTATGTCACAGTATGGCGTGGCGTGGCGTAGCGGAGAATTGCATCACAAAGCTTTGCAACGCAAAGCATGGCATCGCACAGCGGCCCC